AATAAAGTCTTCATCACTGAGTCTGCAACTGTATTATTCTGAGCTTTCGGCATCACACAAGAAGCCATCGTCAAAGAAGTGAGAAGTGACGATGGCCCCTTGTGTGATACCAAAAGCTCAGAATAATACAGTTGCAGATTCAGTGATGAAGACATTAGTTTAGAAGGCCTGAAACCCGCAAGCTGCTCTGTGTATACTAGTGATCCAGTGATCGCGTCTTTTTCTTCTATACTAGATGAACCTGGGGCATTCATATTTGCTTCTATTCCTGAAAGCCTTCATCTTCTGCGATAGCTTAAATAACAATTTAACCTCAACCTTATTGATGAACCACAGAAAAGTTCATCTGTAAACGATCTGCCGTCGCTTCCACAGACTCAGACTTCGGACGTTAGACGAAAATATATAGCAAATAAGTATTCCTTTTTGAAAAGCTGCTGTCATATTCTGTTGGCCAATAAATAGATATAGAAGTCAGGATAGCGTTTCACCTCAAGTCCCACGGCATACTGATGATCGGTAACGACCGTGAAACGGCTGTGCTTCTCTGGCCTGTTGCTTCCTTAGCATGCGCTAAAATGTGCTGAGTGGTATAGTGTCTACATAAAAAATTTACCATGGATCGAGCATCTGCTACAGACCGATAATTATTAATAGAGGAAGTCATCTTTATCTTGAAGTGGTACAAAAGGTGGATTATATCATGAAATTTTAATCGAAATTATAAAATGTATTTTGCATAAGCATGGATTACTTAGGTGAAGCGGTGATACCACAAAATAATCACGCTAGCATGCCGAATTTTTCCTGGCCTTCTTTCTAACAGCCTCCCAAAACTACCCTCAATTAAAAAATGGCTATTATATTAGTATGAATTTTTCACCTCTTCTTACCATACATTTAGAAGTTAAAATATATTTTGTAGAAATAATGCTCGATGTACTCTTTCTTGTGCACATCTGGCAGAAAATTGCGTATTCGTCGAATTTTATACTCGACGAAAGGGCATCTTTCGGGTTTCAAACATTTTGCATTTCCCGAATAATGTTGAACCCAAAATGCAGCTCCATTTGCGCTTGAGTTCTCAAGACTTTCTGGTAAGTAAAAAAAATCAGATATTTCGCTACGCTTTTAAAAAGATGTCACGCAGAGCTCATGAAATCTTGCAGTAGATATGCACTGTAGTATTAATGATAGTACGCATGTGATACTGTGTGAATGGCCCTTTTATGCTCCTAAAAACTCTCATTGGCTGAAAATGTGGCATCCGAAAAGTACCATGTCTTCGAGCATAGAATTGGAGGAAAACGCTGTTTGTTACCAAATGAGTGTATGAACCAACTTACTTCATACATTCTTTTCAATAATTTATACTTGAATTTATAAAGGCATCGCAAACCAGTGAGAAAAATCATTCTTTTTAAGTAGTAATATTTACATTGTGTAGTTTTTACTAGACGGCCGGAAGGAAGCGTATTCAAAAGTGGGGCATCCTAACGTGACTGGAATATCTCCTTGTTATGCTTCACGATCATTTATATTACAATCCAACCCAAGTAATATTTTGTAATCGAAAATATATTTCAAAATGTCGGTAAAAATTTAATGAAGTAGCCCACCTACAAAAGATGGAGAAGATTCTCGCAAACATAACCACGAGTTTTTACGTTTCTTTAGAAGGGCCGTAACAAATAATCACATTAAATTTAAAAAAGTAGCATCCAATTGGCTATCACGGGACTTCGGAATATGTCTACTTTATTCAGGAATGCAGTGAAAGCTCCGATTAATTTCAGCCTACCACAGCGGGATAGATTTTTCAAGTTTTCCTTCAGGTAATGAAGATTCGTCCTACTGGCCTTCTACCAACTCGAAAGTCCGGTGTCTTTCTACCTGCATCTGCGTCACTCTTTCGGCGAGACCGAAGAGATCCTAATCTGAATGCAATTGGCATAATCGATTTTAGAGTAAAGTCTATGTAACTCCGTCAATTATGAGGCGGAATACATACCCATACCAGGATATCCTGGTCATTTGTACTTGTATGCGAATTTGCTCTTCTGTTGTTTCAAATACTCATGGCTACCAGCTCTAAGTTTGCATAAATATCAAAAATTAAGGCTCATCTAAAAGACGTGTCAAGTCTGTGGCCCTGAAATTCCCCCGAAGTTATTTGCCTGGTTTACTAAAAGGGAGAAAGTTATCAACCACCGCTTGATGTATACTTCCTCATTTGACTTTATGCATAAATTATCTGCTGCTAAACTTACCACAAGAGGTATTTGTATGCACAGTCCTCTGACTATGAAGGACTGTGGGGTCTATCATTTAAATGCAAATCAAATCTAGGATTGCAATATTATTTCACGCAAAAATACGTCACGAATGTCTTCATGCTCTCGCCCTAATAACGGGTATTAAAATCGGTCTTCAATTTTAATTAGTCATAGTGTGAAGTTGTCTAGTTACATAAACTGACTCCTCAAAAGAGCCATGGCGCTATTTGGATAGGTTAATGCGGTAGTCACATTGGCTTGTCATAGAGGTTAGTTTCGCTGAATCTGTGGGAGCCCTTAACGACTATGTTATACGCGCCCACTTCGTGGTGCAGTTGTGGACTCATAGTCTCTGACAGTCAAAATATTGATGTGCGCAAATGGTTGGCCTGTCATCTTAAGCAATATTCTGGTGGGTTTTCGTGGCAGCTTCATGAAGGAAAGTGGTGGCATGCTGCTGTCAAAAGTTATCTCCGGATCCCACTTACTTCTATCACAGAGAGAAGCCGTTTGGCAAGGTCCAACCGTTCTTCACTTAGAGCAGGTCCGGATGAGGGGGCGGTTGACTTTTGGAGAATCTCAAACGCCGTTCTCCATCCCAGTCTAACGGCTGTTGCCTCATCAACGACCGGTCTGAGGGCAACCGTTGGATCCGTTGCGGATTTAGTACGGTCTGCTAGCAGGTGTTCGCAGTCTCGAATCAGTTCGGCCACTTTTGGAACCATTAGTCCTCGCTGTAGATCAAAAGTATAATAAATGAATAAATAAGTTGTATATTTAAGGCCCAAGGGGCCCTTTTAATACCAACTTTGTGCCATCGTAAAAATAAAAAATAGGTAATCACAGCTGCGCGTAAGCAACTGTATGACAACAGGAATTAGTAGTATGTTACGCGTGGTAAGATGGTAAGTTAGATCTGATTAACAACAAACTCTCTTATAAAATAATAGTCTGGGCAGTAAAAAACATCGGTAGCTGAGTTCAGCAAGCCACCGATTTCCAAAAAAATGTAGGAGAAAAAACTGCCT